TCCATCTCTCTCTCTCTCTCCCTTGCTTTCTGGTTCTCCCTCTTTTTCTCCTTCTCTGTCGTTCTCCCTTTCTCTGTCAAGAGCATGGAGAGGCACGCCCGTGTCGTACGTGTACATATGCTCTTCTCGCGAGCTAGCCAGCCAGCCAGCCAGCCAGCCAGCCAGCCAGCCAGCCTTCCAGCGAGCGAGCGAGCCAGCTAGCTGGCAGCCGTTAGCGGTTGAACACGAACGCGTCCTGTATCATGATTCACGAGGCAACACGAGTGGAACATCAATCATTTTGTAATACGCGATCACGCACGGAATCGAGCCACGACTTCCTATCGGTTAATCGGCCGAATCTCGATGCGATCGTACCGAGAAGACGCTTCTAAAAAGAGAACCCACGTCGCGAGCGAGCGAGCGTGCGCGCGCGCGTGCGACAACCCTAACTGCATCCGAAGTAAAGGTTATCAAACGAACGTGCCCGTAGCGGTTCGCATTGTACCCCCGTAAACGGCAACATTGTAAAACTGGTAGTAACTGGTAGCGTGTATATACCGGCAAGGCGACGCACGCGTCACATATTCATCGGTAAACGCTATACCTTATACAGGGTGAACCACCTACCACGGTCAATTTCGGCTGTCCCGATGGAATGCGGCGTTATCTTGTCACAAAACCCGAACGGACACGGAATTTTCAATGAGAAGTCAATCGGTGACATTTTGTCCGAAACGTAACGGTTAATATTCGATACCGCATTCGATAGCGAACGAGCAATCGATCGGTCCGCGATTTCGAATAAACGAACTTCAAGCGTTAACCATTACGTCGAACTTCCCTGGATTCGATCGTTCCCAGTTGTCGAATAATGAGTCTCAAACGAAGGGTAAATCGAATTAGAAATTTGAAAACCTTGGAAATCTTTGGAACGGCGAATCTACGGTTGGCACGTTCGGTAGTCCTCGGGCGGCTCGTGAACGACACACCGTATAGATATCGGAGGGTCGAGTAATCGAACTGGTCGAAAAATTCGAGTCGATCCGGCGGACCCGTGTGCGAAGGAAAGAGATCGCGGGGAAAGAAACGAGCGGTCGGAACGCGAGAATGAATTATTTATAGAGAACAGAAAGTAAGGAGAGATGACGATGTTGGGCGGCACGATTCCCGATACTGTGCGTGGCAGACGTACGTAGATGCTTTTGTGAAGCGAGAATACAAATAATGGCCTCGTACAATCGTAACCGTGTCCGGAAGAAAAAACTCTGGAATAATCACTATCGTTTCTACGCTCGTCCCGACAAATCACGGGTAATCGCGATAGAGAGAAATTTCGTCGGATATTCCCGGTGGAATCACTACAAGTTCACGTCCGACTGTACCGCGTTTGTGGCTTCCCGAGCATCCAAAACGGGTGCGAGAAGGGTTAAGCATGAAATTCGGTAAACCGTGCACCACGCAGGTAAATTAACTCCTCGACGTTCCTCCGTACGATCGAGATAAAGGCGAGAGGGAAAAATGTGGATAGGAATGTCCGTGGACGATTTAAATCGATCCCGGTGAGTTTACATGATGGTAGGATGACAAGTCACTGTTCCAACGTTCAGCCGGTATTCGTCCAAGATTTCATGAGAAAGGAAGCAAGCGAAGGAGCACACAGCGATGAGTACACGTACACCCGCGGGTTGGGTACGGTAGAAGAAGGGAGGGGATACACCGAAGGAGAGAAGAACGTCGCCCGCGGCTAGCAACCGCAAAGGCAAAACTCCCGTGAGTGGTTTGCCACCGTGAACTGGTTTTCGGGTGGATATATCGTTGTCCCACCTTTCGAGGAAACAACGGATCAACGATAGGAACGACGATCGTGCGTCGCGACGGACGGACGGAACGCCTAAACTGGCCGGCGTGATTGTGTGCGTGTAGCACCGTAAAGGAACGAGAAGAAAGAAGACGGAGAGAAATGTGTAGAGACAGAGAGATACGAGAGTGTAGGACTTACCCAGAGCTCCGTACCCCAACTCATGTTCGCTGGGCCGGGTAAACCAGGCACGAGCTGCAGCCTTGTCACACACGGGACACTTCACATGTAGCGTCGCGATCGAGATACACTTTTCGTATCGAACACGCGTTTAAAAACGCATGAATAAATCACGCGTCAGATATCACCGCGCTTACCGCTCACTAAAACATCACCAACATGTCGGCCTGTAACCACTGACTGGCCGGACCCAACTGTCCATCGAAAACCGCCCGGAATTTCGCTGTAGCGCACTCTACCGAGGTTCCCGCGCACGAACGATGTTCGAAGTGGGGCCACGTGCCGTTCCATTGGCCGAGGGTTTTGTGACACTCCGATGCAACTATTCGAAAATATATCAATACGATATACGAGAATGACGACTATGATTAATATTAATTGCTATCTGTAGGAAATATCATCGATTGGAAACGATCGGTTTATGTGTTTATAGATTATTTATTATTTCCTGTAGGAATTACGGAATTTCCGTAGTACGTTTGATTTAGTTGTACGCATTTTTATGGAATTAAATAGGATTGCAGCGTTATTTTCGTTACTTCAATTACTATTGTTGGAAAAAGTAATTCGGTTAGTGTAGGTACATCTATTGATTATTACATTACGCTTTATCATATTCTGACGTTTATATGAGTCATAAGAAGCAAGATCGCTTTATTGTTGTGCAAATATTTCTAGTTTATCGTACGATGATTTAATAATGCATATTTAGAGAAGAGATCGGGTTATTTGAAAATATTTTTTACTTTCGAGGTATTTCGAAATTCTCATGAATATTCAAGTCAAAATGGAGTGATGATTCTCGTGAGTTATAACATACAAGTGCGACTAAAATGGCGCTGGGTGACTCGAGGGAAGTATCAAAGGTCATTAGTTGAATGCAGATAATTTACTTCTTATACCAAACTGAGGGTGTTGATTCGATTTATCTGCCTCGAATTTTTTCCATTTCTCACTCATGAAGTCGTAACGTGCGTTTCGTTCATGATTTCCCGACAAGCTGATGGAGGAAATGAATACCCACAATGGAGGTTGTATTTGTATTTTTTATTCGTTTCTTACATGTTGCTATACGTATACATATCGTTTATTCATTATGTTTTATTGCCCGTACAAATGTGTTTTTGTAATACTACTCTATCTGATTGTAAATCATCTTTGTACTAGGAGTTCATTGCTCAGTCATTGCAGGTGGTGGAATTATTCAATGAAAATGTAGGATCCTATATCTTTTCAAGATGGATTGGCAGATTTATTGAAGAATATCAGATATCAAGAACTCTGTTTATTGTTGCAACATCAATAGTTTTGACTATATTGATAGTGTCTATAATCATCCTACGAAAATGGAAAAACAAAGAATTTCTCCCAGAAGTGAAAGAATTTGTCGGAGTGGGTACAGGCAAGCCCAGATTCAGAAAAAGAGACAAGGTGCTCTTCTATGGAAGAAAAATGTTACGCAAAGTGAAATCTATTGGTGGACAAGTACACGCGACCGGACAAGGAAAAAAACGAAAAGCTGTCATGCGGTTTGCACGCAGACTTTTACAACTGAAGAAGGATTCAGCCCCACAACAATTAAAGGTATGTCACCATAACTCTTAATTCTATTATTTTTTATTGGTATTGATTGTGCTCCTTTCACAAATTATTTCTATATTTAAAAAGGTCTTGGAACCACCTGCTGAATATTTAGAAGAAGATCTAGGTCCTGGTGACAGAGTGCCTCCAGATGCTTTGTACATGTTGCAAAGTATTAGAGTATTTGGACATTTTGAAAAACCTGTATTTCTGAAATTATGCAAACATACTGAGATTATGAGTTTACCAGCTGGAAGTACTTTATTTAAAATTGGAGATCCCGATGAAAATTTATTTATTGTGCAACAGGGCTTGGTTAATGTTTTTATCACAGGACCAGATGGTTCTCAAATACCGTTAAAATTAGTAAAAACAGGAGAATCGGTAACTAGTCTTCTTAGCTTTACTGATGTCCTTACTGGACATACAAGTACCTATAAAACAGTATCTGCTAGAACTGTGGAGGACTCCATAGTAGTTAAGTTACCAATGAGTGCATTCCAAGAGGTAATACATAATTATACCAAACAAAGTAAAGGATAATTAAAAATTGTATTTCTAATATGTTGTATTATACTTTTAGGTTTTCCAAGATCATCCTGATACATTTGTTCGAGTTATCCAGGTCATTATGGTTCGCCTCCAAAGAGTCACCTTCACCGCTTTACATCAATATCTTGGCTTGTCTGCTGAATTAGTTAATCAGGGAACGCATAAAAAGAAACAAAGCCCATTCTCTGGATCACCGGTTAGATCAAGAACTAAAGAAAATTTTTCCACTCAAAACACGGAAAATCTGTCGTTCACGCCTGCAACTGCTTCATCAGAACAACATGATGGAAATGAAATGCTTTATCGTGAAGCTCTTACTTTAAGCAGCCCTCAACCTGTACCAATTGTCATAAATACACGGTAAGTTAATGGAATAGGGAATAACAAAGAAAATGTTTTCATTAATATTTATTTTATAATAGACCAAGAACTAATCTCGAGTGGAAAACTCAAACTTCAAGTCCACAATCGGATCAAAGTATGGCAGAAATGGTACCAGAATGTGATTCTCACTGGCCAAATTCTTCGCCTATGATGCCACAACAAAGATCACAACCAGATGTTGTGCATACAGGGAATTCCCATCGAACCAAGAAACGGTCTACCACCGCTGAACCTGTTCAACAGCAATTAGACGAAGCTCATTTTGTACAAATAGCTACAGAAGCATTTGTTAGAGAACTTGGCTTGGATGACGATACGGTACTCAAGGATGGCAAAGTTCAGATCAGAGAAGTACCAGCTGGAACTTATTTGATGAAGGAAGAATCTCATAAGGATGTTGCTCTTGTCTATGTTGTGTCCGGTTCACTGACTGTGAGCCAACGCGTTTCAGAGGGCAGAGATGTTGGTCAAGAAGTTCATATGTTCAGTGCTCATCAAGGTGAAATTGTTGGAGGATTGGCTGTATTAACCGGGGAACCCTCTTTTTATACTATCAGAGCAAAACATCCTAGTCGCATAGCACTTCTCAGTAAATCAACATTTTTTGCAATTATGAGGGAACAACCCACTGTTGTGTTGCACGTAGCGCATTCTGTCGTTCGAAGACTTAGTCCTTTTGTTAGACAAGTTGATTTTGCTCTTGATTGGCTATTCCTTGAAAGTGGAAGAGCTGTCTATAGGCAAGGAGACGAGTCAGACTCGACGTTTATTGTATTAAGTGGTCGTCTTCGATCGGTAATTACATATAAAAATGGAAAGAAGGAACTCGTCGCAGAATATGGTAAAGGAGACTTGGTTGGCATCGTAGAAATGGTCACACAGACTCCACGATCAACCACAGTAATGGCAGTACGAGATTCTGAACTAGCAAAGTTACCCGAAGGACTGTTTAACGTTATCAAACTTCGTTTTCCAATAGTGGTCACGAGGCTCATAAATTTACTTGGACATCGTATTCTTGGTACCTGGCAAAAGCCACATGCGAAAAGCATCAATATTGATAAGCAGTGCGTATCAAGAATATATTACCACTTTAATACATGATAATTTTATTAACTTGCATACATATACATTCATAGACGAGCAACTGCAACAGTGGACACAAGACCAGCTCAAGTCAATTTTTCAACCGTTGCTATAGTCCCAGTATCCGACGATGTACCATTAACAGCATTTACCTATGAACTTTACCATTCATTATGTGCTATTGGGCCATGTTTACGTCTTACTTCAGACGTTGTCCGAAAAGTAGGCAATTACATTGTATATTTTTTTTTTTTAATTCTATCATGTATGAAGTAATCTTATGTGTATCCTTCTCTATCAATAGACACTGGGCAGTACTATTATGGAACCTGCAAATGAATATCGATTAACATCCTGGTTGGCCCAACAAGAAGATCAACACCGGATCTCGTTATACCAATGCGATCCAACGTACACACTATGGACTCAACGATGCGTGCGACAAGCTGACTGTATCCTCATCGTTGGTTTAGGAGACAGACAACCATCTATAGGTAGAACGGAACGTGAAATTGAACGTTTGGTAATGAGAACGCAAAAGGAACTGGTGCTATTGCATAAAGAAGGCGGACAACGGCCTATGAATACAGTACAATGGTTAAACATGAGATCCTGGGTTTCTAGTCATCATCACATTCAGTGCCCTAAGAGAATGTTCACGAGGAGATCCCAGTACAGAATTGTAAGGTGTAATGTATTCTAAATTGTAAGAGTAATAGAGAAAACATTCACGGAATTTTTACTTTTCAGAATGAATTGTATTCCAAGGTTCTTATGTCAGAACCTAACGTACACAGCGATTTTAGTAGACTTGCACGCTGGTTGACTGGAACGTCGGTTGGACTTGTACTCGGAGGTGGCGGTGCTAGAGGTGCAGCCCATGTGGGAATGCTTAAAGCAATCATTGAAGCCGGTATACCCATAGATATGGTTGGGGGAGTCAGTATTGGGGCATTTATGGGTGCACTGTGGTGTATGGAGAAAAATATTACAACAACAACTCAGAAGGCTCGCGAATGGTCTAAAGTAAATTACTATGATACTAAACTTAATGGTAATATTACAAACTATTAATAATTATCCCTTCATAATAGAAAATGACCCAATGGTGGAGGCAAATAATGGATCTGACGTATCCAGTGACATCCATGTTCTCTGGAAAAGATTTTAATAAGACGATCCAAGGGACGTTCGGTGATACGTATATAGAAGATCTGTGGTTACCGTATTTTACAATAACCACAGACATCACTGACTCTTGTATGCGTACCCACACACACGGTCTGTATACGAAACGATAATGCTTAACGTTGTTCAAAAGCACTGATAGTTTCCAGTTCTGTATGGCTAAATGCGCTTAAAATGTGACTCGAATGATTATGTTTCAACTGGAAACTCTCTCGCTGTTTTAGTGCAGTACGTAGACCCTATAGATTTGCTTGTTACCCAAAATTTTATTTCGTAATTTCACCACGTATAAATATCATAGAGTGCGTTACGTAGAAATAAGCTTGAACAGCGGGAGTGAGCTTTCTGGATAATTGTTGTTGACGTACTCTCCGTTCTGTATCGTTAATCGTCAAAGTCGATCATTGTTCTTTCTTTTAATTTAAAAAAAAATAATAAAAGAATGAATAACGTGGGCGATCTCCCATGTATACTTACATTGAATGGTGGTAACGAAGAATTTTGGAGCTACCTGTTATTTGCTCTAGCATTTATAAAACGACTATAGGAAATAATGAAGAAACGCACGGATATATATTAAAGAAATTAATTCATCGTGTTTAGGATCGCTGTGGCGGTACATTCGGGCTTCGATGTCTTTGTCTGGTTATATGCCACCCATGTGTGACCCAGTTGATGGCCATCTCCTACTCGACGGCGGGTACGTCAATAACCTTCCAGGTAATTTGAGCGTAACATTAAAAAGAAATGCGTCGAGAAACTCACGTTAATATTATACACACGTGTATTTATAACGTGACGCATTTACGCTCTTGAAGAATAATGTTAATAACTTGTTATAATTTTCTAAAATTACCTGGACATTGGACAATAGTTTCTTGCCAATTAAACGGTGTCTTGCATCCGTTTCTTTTTTCATTAATACAAGTAACGAAACGGTTCGTTACAGTTTCAAAAGAGAATAATGATAATGCAATTGTTAAAAATGACACTAAAGCTCACTCCCGTTGATAAAAGATGCATTTGTCAAATTCTGAATAGCTAAGTGAACTCAGGTTTGCTATGGAGATACATTCGAGCCAGTATGACCATTGCGGGGGTCTTTCCTCCTTTTTGCGACCCTCTTGACGGGCATCTTTTGGTCGATGGGTGTTATGTTAATAACGTGCCAGGTATCTTAAACCTGTATTGTTTACCTTATATATATATAAAAAAAAAAATAATACATATTCTTCAATGACAATCGACTATCGACATGTGCATTCATGATTTGTCTGTTCAAGCTGACGAAATGTTAAGACAAGGAGCACATCACATTTTGGCCATCGACGTTGGGTCACAAGACGACACGGACTTAACGAATTACGGTGACTCTTTGTCCGGTTGGTGGTTACTTTGGAAACGATGGAATCCTTTCGCGACTCCCGTTAAAGTACCGAATTTACCGGACATACAGTCGAGATTAGCGTACGTCAGTTGCGTGAGACAACTGGAGGAAGTGAAAAATTCTGATTATTGTGAATACATCAGACCACCGATAGATAAATACAAAACACTTCAATTCACTAATTTCGACGAAATTAAAGATGTCGGATATCAGCATGGTAATTGTCATTTCTATTTTGCGAGGAGTAATATTTTCACAGGAGAATATAAACTTATATATATATATATATATATATTTCATTTTTACATGTAGGAAAGACTTATTTTGAAGGACAATCAAAGGCTGGAGTTCTACCACGATTCAATGCCGATAGAGAGAATGCACGCATTTTACGAGCGAAACATCAAGCATTGAATCAACAGTCTGTATCTTCGTACACTTTTACAGATCTAGCTCAAATGGTATGCAAAGTTTCCACAGGAAATCGATATATGGATATTGATTCCGACACGGATGAATTAGAAGAGTATGAGGCTGATTTAGAAGAAGATGCACAAGAAGTAGGTTATGCGTCTGAACCCACTGCCGGTATTCTAGACCAGGTATTGATGTTTTATTCTCATTCAATAATAGATTACTAAATATATGTAAAATGTTGGAATTACAAACTCGGTATACATATTCTCTATCTATTTATAGATTATTTAATTATGCATAACAATTATGTATAAAATATTTCATATGATGTATAATCTTATCTTTATTACAGAGTCCTGATGAAAATTTGCGACGAAGAACTGGCGTCTCCTTAAGTTTATCGGATACGGAGGCTGAATCCGAATTAGATTACCATCCAAAAATATTTTAAGTATTTCTTTTTCTCACTGTTATTTTAAGGCCACGTAATTTCTATATCACGCGCGATACATAAACATACATAACACTCACTCGTCATATGTACAAACTATTATAACATTACAATCACGCATAGTTATATAAAAAAAAAATGTATTTATACGAAAGTACAAAAAATATTATTAAGAGGAAATATTAATAAGTATCTTGTTATTGTCAGCGTAACAATACAATACTTCGTTAATATTAGAAGATCATGAATTGATAGTTATTGTTATTATGACTACTAAATATATTATTTTATTGTTTATACAAAATGTTCTTGTTACTCGTATGTTTATGCACTGTGACAACATCAAGTTCCATTCTCGAGGGTCCGTATTAAAACTGTGTAGTCATTGTTAAATTCGGGTCTAATATAGCAAGAACCGCGCCAACTAAATGTAATGATCCTGTTACGAGAACTTGATATTTCTCATCGTCATTATAATTAAACTGTAGTTTCAAATTATCCTTTTTGATCTCCTGTAAAACTTCAGAGACAGTATTCGCAACTACCGAACCTGCTCCCCAAAATTCAGCATTTTTTGAACATTGAACTTGAGATTCAATACTTAAGTAATGATTTGCCTCGTCGTCTACAGTTTTAATTCCCGCATAATTTGGCACAAAATATGCTTTTTCAAACTGCAACGATTTGATAAGTGTCAGTAAACTCTTTGAATCTCGTTTCCCGCTAACGTTAAAAATCAAAATGTTTTTCTTTCCACTTCCACTAGTTACATTATTGAACCAAGAAATGCAGCACTGAATACTTTCAATTGTATGTGCACCATCTAAGTAGAAACTGGCAACAGTAGTTTCTAAAATTTGCATTCGACCAGCCCATTTACAAGATGATAAACCTGTTGCAATTTTATCCATGTGTCTGTTGATACATTCACTAGTATTTAAAATATTATGTGTAACAGATGAACGCTTATTAGTTTTAGATGTTATCCATGCAGTAGCCATTTGAATAGCCAAAGATGCATTCTGTTGTTGAACGCTATTTCTTATTTTTAAAATAGGTGATAAATTTTCCCATTTGTAGTCCTCAAAAGGAGGAACAACATGCAGTGTGCAATTTTCTTCAACCGCTCTTTTTTCTAATACTTCCATTGCTCGTGGATGTTGAGGAACAGAAAATGCAATAGTGTTAGGTTTAAAAATTCCAGATTTTTGGTAAGCTATATCTTCCAGAGTTGTACCTAACAAGGAAGTATGGTCTAATGCTAAACTTGTTATACCTACACATACAGGATTTCTTACAATATTTGTACAATCTTTCAATCCCCCAATTCCAACTTCAATTACAGCAACATCAATGTTCAAATCTAAAAATATGTTGAACATTAAAATTGTTAAGAAATTAAAATATGTAGGCATATCAAATTCATGCTCTTTTGCATCTTTTAACTTCTTATAAATTTTCCAGAAATATTCAGTAAAGAGCGATTCGCTTATTGGTTGCCCGTTTATTTTGATACGTTCTCTTATGGTAACTAAATGAGGAGAACTGTAGAATCCTGTACTATAGCCGTGTTCTCGTAAAATAGCCTCTGCATATGCACAACTAGAACCTTTTCCTTTAGTACCTGCTACATGGATAACAGATAACGTATCTAATTTCTCAAGAGTGATAGCAGTTCTGAAATATAATATTGGAGATAATTGATCTTCTCTCCACAACAGACTCTTGGATCCTTATAAACTATACAAAAGAATTATTACCGTAACAAATATTTTTCAGTGTCATACAATTTATAGGAATTATTCCAGTTCTTTCGTGTTGATAAGTTCAAGTATTCAGCATTGCTTTGTAAACTGTGCAATGCTTTTAAAGCAGACTGAAAATATAATAAATAATATTTCCATACCTTTTTGTTAATAATTTAATTGAACATAAATTAAATAATTACTCATACCTCATATGAATCACTATGTTCCATCATTACATATCATTAAAAAATTTGGAATTCTATACTATTTTAAACACAAAACTGCACAACATGAACTTATTATATATTACATAAACTTACCTTGTAATCTGCTATCGAGCAGAAATAACGTTTGATTAGAGTCTTCAGTGTCATACCCCTCCAAGCTGCAAACATCTACATTAGATGATAAGAGGAAATTCATAAATATGTACATTCTACAGATATCCATACATAAGTAAGTATAAAAGCTAATCATTAGACTTTATAGCAAGTTTGATACAGTTGAAATAATTAAGTCCAAGTTTCACTGTATTATATTGAAAATTTTATAAATTTTCAAATGATTCGTTTGTTTTTTTTCGGGACCTCCATCTAGTTATTACAGATTTAAACATATTGCACGAGGAAATTGAAGATCGTCTGCCGGTAACGCGCGGGCGCATTTTTACTTATTGATTTGTATCAAGTTGTATTTAGATTCTATATCTATCGCTATTCTTATGTTTGGAATCATTCGTGCCATACGCAAAGTCATTCTTTCAGTACCATTATCAGGATCGACACGGTTTTCAATTAAGAGCGAGCAGGAAAGCTTTCGACGATGGCAGATATGTCGGTGAACAACGTTGCACCACGAAAAATGTCTTTTGGCATTAACGGGAAGTTAAATGGTTTAGAACATAAAACACCTTTTCTTATCGGAGTTTCTGGTGGTACAGCCAGTGGAAAAGTAAGTCCCATATAATTTTAATTCTCCAAAGTAATTTAATTATTTACACTTTCTATCTTGCAAACGAGAATCAGTTTTCTCAACGACTTAACCTCCGTGGTAAATGCACAATGTGAAATGATTATATCTGTACTTATCTTTTTAACGAAATATTCATAAAAATTGTTCTTCGACATTCTAGTCTACCGTCTGTAAGCGTATTATGGAGAAATTAGGCCAGGTTGATATGGATCACATGCAGCGGCAAGTAGTCTGTATTTCGCAAGAGAGTTTTTATCGGGATTTATCGCCGGCCGAAAAACTCAAAGCCGAAAAAGGTCAATACAATTTCGATCATCCCAACGCATTTGATAATGACTTGATACTTCAAACATTGCAAGACATACTGGCTGGTGTGAAATGTGAAATACCGGCTTATGATTACAGAACAAACAGTTTGTATGTATTGTTACTATATATTTATGTCATATTAGTTAAAATAGTACCGAATCAACAATTTTCTTTGGTTTTCAGAATAAAAGATCATATCACAACAATCTATCCTGCGGATGTAGTTTTATTCGAAGGGATTTTAGTGTTTTATTTTCCTAAAATACGTGATTTATTTCATATGAAACTGTTTGTAGATACAGATTCAGACACTAGATTAGCGAGAAGAGGTAACACTTGAAAAAAATATTTATCCTTTAAATATTATAATTATGATAAGTAAATGTTCTTAATTATTGTAACAGTGCCCAGGGACATAGACGAAAGGGGAAGAGATTTAGATTATGTATTGAATCAGTATATGAATTTTGTAAAACCTGCATTTGAAGAATTTTGCTTACCCACAAAGAAATTTGCTGATGTTATTATCCCTAGAGGTGCAGATAATACAGGTAAACAATTTATATACAACAGTACATAATAATTAAATATAAAATATAGTTTTAAGTATATGAAGCTATATATATATATATATATATTTATATATACATATATGTAGGGTGAATGGAAAAAGTCAAGTAGTATATCAAAAGATTTTTAGGATATAGTACTGAAATACTTTAATATATTTTGTAAATTTTTTAAAAAAAGAAAACAAGGAGATATGTACAAAAATTTTGATTCATGACTTTTTTCAAGCTTCATTTCAAAAAGAACTATAACACAGTTGTTAGAATCACCCTGTATATACATATGTATCTTTCAATTTTTTTATCATACTGTTTTAGTATTCAATACATAACTACAATTATTAACTTATTTATAAACATAAATTATGCATTATACCATAACTTTAATTCATTTTCATCCAGTCTACACCTAATTTATGAAATTCAATAATCGTGGCTTTATAACAATAATAATTTCACTTGTTTTGTCATTAAAACTTGACACTAACTTTGTGTTTTCAAAAAGATATTTACCATTCAACATAATTTAGCTGCAGATCTGGAGTAATAAGACAGCTTATACTTTTATTATTTATACATTTCTATATAGCTATTTATGGGTGCTGCCTGGTATTAAAGGGCTGCTAAAACAAGCTGTCTTTTAAGTTAGTGCAAGAATTAAGGTCATATAAAAACGTACATAGTTTGGTTGTTGTATGTTTGCAGTGGCAATAGATCTTATAGTGTACCACATCTGGGACATTTTGCGTTTGAAAAAGGCTAAAAACTCATCCGGGCAGCATCCATACAACTACCAACATAGGTGTACTTCAACTTCATCCGACACGCTCAGCATATGATCTAAGCATGATATGCTCACTTATAAGCACTACACTTTTTCATATATACCATACACTTATGTATAGTTAAGTTTACAGTAATCTTCAGACTTTTATTTTATGTATTTAATACCTCTATACTTATTGGCATTGTATTTGTATTACATTTATATTGAACTACAAAAGGTATTGCTTTCAAAAAGTGTATCTGCATCCATTATACCCTTGCATGGGGTGAAATTAATTTTACACTGTACCAAAAATATCCAAATATTGTAATTCCAATCAAGCATAATTGTTCATATTTATACCTAAGACTAATATAATAGAAAGCTTTGAATATTACTTACATACAAGAACTTTTGTGAGCATATGTATATGTACGTATGTATAATTATGCATGTTATTAAAAATTAAAATTCTTTTATATAATGTACCCTAAACCAGTTCAGTGCTTTGTGCATCTAAATAAATATAAACTACAATTTTGTATAAGACGATTTAAGTGAGCATAAAGCATTTATTTTTAGCGTATTTCACTCAAATGTGATATTTTCAATTTAAATTAGTGCATAATATACGTACTACCATTCTTGACATTTAATTGCATTGTATGGTGCTAATCACTTTATTCGGTGTTCTCATTCTTCAAATGCTCAAATTATTTTAATTCCAATAAAGATGTCGTACTTATACTAAACAATTATAGCTCAAATTGTATAATTTGATATGTCATTTGTTTAGATTGTAAAATGAAATAATAATAAAGAAGTTAAGGTCATGAAACAAGTAACCTTTAACCATATACTTATTCTTTATGTTTTGTTACAGTGGCAATAGACTTGATAGTGCAACACATAAGAGACTTCTTAAGCAACAGGGGTAGGGTTACAATGGAACCCGAAAGTTCAATAAACAAAACAGAAAAACTATCCAAGAGGCCACATTAACTTTTGAAGGGTTTAGAGCTTGATAGAAAATAAGTTCAGTAATCTTGTTTTTTCATTACTCCTAATACTCGGGTATGTTTTAATGTGGAAATTCTACATTAAATTAGTGATAAATGAGGTGATATATGAGATTTTCGGAAGATACGCAGTGAACTATTTTTGTGTTATATTTTAACACTGCTCGCAAATATAGACATTCATAATTATTAAATAATCGGAAATCTTAGGTACAAAGTGTTAATATCAAGCATTACATTTTACTGCGTACAGAAGGCTATATTAATATAGAATCAATTTGTAAAAATATTTTAACAAGATTTAGGTGTTAAATAACAGTTAAAAACAATAATAATACAAAAGATTATTTTTGCTGCAGCTATATTTGTTTATTGTATAATTATGTACATTGTACACTTAAATACTATATAAGATATAAAATCATGAAGTGCTTAAATATAAAAGTTATTATTGTTATTATTGTGTTTATATTTAACAATAATTTGTATAACATTAATTATTAATTAATTATTGATAGTAAAGTTCTAAATTCATACCATCATGAATTTCATCTAAATTATTAAATTAAGGAAAACGTGTTAAAGATTTTATGACATCGTGTGACAATATAAAAAGTGTACTTAATCTCAAAGGATACAATCTTGTAATTTTATGTGATCCTTAAAAATGGTATACCATTTCTTCAAAACAATCTTTTCCCAATGCGTTCCAGTCTGAGCAGCTATCAGTTTCTTTAAATCCCCTATTGTGTCATCTGGATTACATTTAACTCTAACTTTTTTCCCAAGACGGTCATTGCATGTTATTTCTAGCATTTTCTGTTTTGTACAGGTAAGGAAGAAGAAAATTGTTTAAAGTAACGTTGCACTAATTGGATAACTATAAGATATGTAACTCTTACTTCAATAGATGAATTGTATTGTTTTTATTGTAAAAATTTATCAAGTTTATAGGTTACGAACTATTGTAAGCAGTGAAAAGTAATAATGTATTATTCTGAAAAATATATATCGAATATATGATGCTTGATAATTTAGAAAAATTATTTTTAGAACTATATATGTATATATAATACTTTTTATATACAAACGTAATAATGATACGCAATATTTACTTACAGGTTATCGTTATATTATAGATGTAGGGAAATAAATTTTTGCTGCTTACACACTCGTGGGAGGAAAACACACGTTAATAGAACTTGCTCTCGAAGAACTTCAAAAATATATACGTATAATATATGTTTACAGAAGTCCACAGTCAATCTTACAAAACTGAAAAAGATAACCAAATGATGAAAATGGTACAGATAACATTAGCTACAACACTTCCATCAATTTCTCTTTCACCCGGTATAGAGCTAAGGACACAGTGATACGATTCGAATTTTCCTATATTTGAAACCTTATTCAATACATAGTAATTTCAAGCAAAAATAAGAACACAAGAGAACACGTTCGCGGTGCGTTGTACTATCTTCTGCCATTACCAAATTCTCTGAGAACGACTATGGCGGACGCAGTAGACCTTTCCGGCGCTTCTTCCAATCCGAAGATGTCGTCGAAAGTTTTAAGACAAAAGGCACAAGAGTTTTTAGCCTCGAGGAAACATGCAAATAATTTAGTAGACATAATAGGTCAATGGGATGTAAGTTCATATTCTAAAATCATTTCAAACCGATGAATGTATCAACTTCTCGAGGTTATGTCGCTTATTAAAACTCTGGATCACTCTTCATTAGGAATCTCCTTCGTCCTGCTTGCTTACCATAGAGACAATATTTGTCGAAGTTTTAAGAAGAGGCGATATGTATCTTGAACGTACGATAACACTCACGATTTCAGGTACGTTTAAATATTTTAATACCTCTGTTGTTTCATGTTTGACATTACATCTCTCTGAATTTTCCAACTAATATCTTTCTTATAAAACTACTACGCGTTTATATTTTGTGAAAATATATATTATGGGCACAAAATATAAGCTTGATGTATGTAGCGTTTGAATGTTGCAAATATTTAAAAGCACAAAATAGCTTTTCCATGAGATTTCTGAAACAGAACCGAGTCCGGAAGCAAGATACATCAATTGGTTGAGAAACTGTTATGAAGAAATATGGGAGAAAATACTCTTGTCAATAGAGAAGTGTCGACCTGCTATTCAACTGCAAGCTCTTACCACTGCCATAAAACTTATGGCAGAGGAGGGAAGACATCCATTGGAACCAACTGGTAACTTGGGATATTATTTTCCACTTCATCGGTTGAAACCTATTCTAATGAGCTTACTTGCACCTGAGAAAGACAATGCCAACTTAATATCCAGATTTCAAGAAATTACAGAATATCCTGATGCTCTTTATTATACTTGGAAGTGTCTTCCTTCTTTGACCCCTAAAAGGCAGCCTCATGAAACTTACATAAAAAATTTGTTAGAACTTATACACAAGTCGCCATTGCCAAAGAAAACCGAAGGTATAAAGTAGGAAAGTTTAACCGGTATACATAGTTTCACATAATTTCCACCAAGATTAGAACATAATGCATTACATTTGTATTCCAGAGTATGAGATGTCCGAGGATAAAAATTTACTATGTAGGTCACAGCAAGGTAAAGGAACTGTCGATTATTCTCTTCACTTGTGTTAATTGCACAATATTTTTTCTTTCATTTTTCTTCTTTTCCCCTTTTCATTTAGATACCAGAACTTTTGTATGGGATCAAGCAGGATCTAGGCGTGCACTTAATAAAGTTTGGGTCTGTGTAATGCATTGGGAATTAACTCCACAGCTGCACAAACAGTTATTGGTTGTTCTTTTGGAACGAGTGATGCCACATTTAGAGAAGCCTGTACTGTTAACAGACTTCCTTATGGATTCTTTAGATGCAGACGGACCTATTGCTTTACTTGCATTACAAGGTGTATTTTTACTAGTTACCAAACACAACTTGGAGTATCCCAATATCTTCACCAAACTTTATTCTATGTTTGAACCGGAAATCTTTCACACAAAGTACAAAGCTCGTTTATTTTATTTATCTGATCTTTTTCTTAGTTCGACGTAAGTATCCGAAGTACTATTACAAGACGTATTTCTCGTTAAAGTAACATTAACATTATCATGTGTTTGTATTTGTTTCTAGGCACTTACCTGAAGCATTAGTTGCGGCCTTTGCGAAACGGCTCGCTCGTTTAACGCTTGTCGCGCCACCCGAAGATATTCTTATCATATTACATTTTGTTGGGAATCTTCTACTTAGACATCCTGGTCTGAAACGCTTAATCGATCATCCACAGGGTGGAGAAATTACAACCGAGGAAAGCAATGGCGCCGGGGATCCATTCTTGATGGAAGAACGAGACCCATTGTTAAGTAATGCTCTTTTTAGTAGCCTCTGGGAAATCAAAGCTCTACAGTGGCACGTTATACCAAGTATAGCTAGCGCTGCTCGTTTTATTCGCGAACCACTTCCATCGGTCGAATACGATATGGGATCGGCATTAGAACGCACAGGAGGACACTTGTTTGACCGTGAATTAAAAAACAAAGTTAAAGATATCATGTTAACCTTCGAAAGACCGAATTCGATGACATTACCGAAAGGTGAAAGATTATTACAATATTGGCAATTAACGGCAATGCACTGACTGGCAATGTTAATATTATGCATCAAGAGCATAATGTCGTACAATATGCATCGTTATTGACAGGAAAATTGTACTTTCGATGAACAAGAAAACGCCAAGGAAATGAAACGAAAGTTTCTGCGTTTTTCTTTTTTTTTATACGTTAAGAAAAAGTGTAATGCGAAGATATTGCATACTTTTGTATTATTTAAAAAATCTAAATGAATTGATTCAGGATACATTCTTTCACGAGCAATCTGTAGATATATATTGTTAGAGTTTCAATCATGCAGCTATCTAGCACAGTAGCTACTTGTGAATACTACCGGTTTTGTCAAACGGAGTCATTTGTATGCATGAATGTGTGATAATAAAATGAAAGATATTTTAATTTAATAGATCACGCGTGTGTTTCATTCGGAATGCAATATCTGCTTGGCAAATAACATACAGGTAAGCATAAATCGATTCTGTAATACAGTCGTATCATGACACAGTTTTATATTTTAAAACAGTATTCAAATAAAGCCCCTACTATAATACAATGAAATAAGCACCCTATGTATTATTGCCGATTATTATGTATAAAAGAAAAACTGTATGTACCTACATAATTCATAGTACTTAATCAGGATAATGTTATGCATACCGTTTGTTTTCCAAAATCTGGAACATAAAAGTAATTATCATTTCTAATTATTTGAATATTTTTACGTATGTATATTGATATGAGGTGAACAAAATTTTGTATAAAGAAGTTATTTTGTTTATATAATACAATGTATTGAGTAAAAAAATTACAAACCCATGTTAATTGCCGCCATTCATCTTCATTCAATGCGTATTTTATTTTAACCAAAATATTTGCTGGAATGTTGGGTACTGGTGTTAATAAATGCTCTTGTTTAGTAGGTACATATTCTATTTGTAAAAGCTCAGCCACCGTTGGCCGCATTTTTGGGTCATGTTGAAGACATCTACGCATCACGTCAATTAAAATTGATGGTGACGATATAACTTTATTATCACCCTCTCTCGATGGCAAAGTTGCAGGAAAAGAGATATTTAGTTTTGGATTAGTAATCGCGTTTACTTTAGCCCATTGTGAACGAATATGGTGAAATGGTGTATGCCCGTACACTAAACTATACAATATGCATCCTAACGACCATACGTCTGACTTGAAAGTTATCTGTATAATGTACATGTATCAATTATTCTTTATACATTGCAATTGTTAATAACATTCCAAAAGTAATCTTCTATACCTTGTACTTGACGTTCTGTGTAGGAGAATCTGAACTTCCTCCGATATCCATTAACGCTTCTGGACTGATATAATTTAAGGTACCTATTGGACAGTTTTTTACAACGGACGTCATATCTGCATTCATACTTGAAGCAATTCCGAAATCTATGAGCTTCAGTCTTCCTCGTACCAATAAAAAATTTGCAGGTTTCAAGTCAGAATGAATTACTCCTGAAATGTGTAAAGATATTAAAACGTGATACTTGTAATAAGTAATCATTTTCATTCACTAAGCATTTACCATTATCATGTATATGTTTAACAGCTGTTAACATTTCTGTCCAATAATAAAGAACCATTGTAAGGGAAATGTGTCTCTCTTGCGACATCGTTTTTAAAAGGCGACTGAGATCAGTATCTCCCATTTCCATTACCACGTACACCATAGGAAATTTCACTTCGCTGCAACAACAAATTTTTAATTTAAATAATAATCAATATAATTTCTTAAATATATATATTTTCAAAATCATTTCTTACTAATCAAACATTCTAACAATGCATGGTGCTTGTAATCTGTGTAACATCGATATTTCTTCTAAGCAACCTTGTGCTGAGTCCTTGTCCATACGATTAAGATTAACGCATTTGATCGCACACAGTTCAAGGGAAGATAAATCTTGCACTCTTAAAACTTCTCCACTCATTCCTTGTCCAAGTGAACCCAAAATTAAATATTCTTTTCCCTTCACAAATATAGTTCTAGGCTGCTTCGGTTTCGGAACATTAGGTGGTATCGAAAATTGTACATTTGGTGCAGCATCTGTAGATCTTTTTGGCTCCTGTTGCTGATTCTGATTAAGAGCTACTAGATACTGATTTTGTGAATCATTATTTATTTGCTTCAAAGCATCCTTGTTGTCCTTATTAGAGTGAGAAATGTGTGTGGAAGCTGATATCCTTTTTTGTAATACAGCTTCTTTATCTTGCATATTTGAGTATTTATTTTCTTTTAACTGTTCATTAGCGTCTGATTCTAATCGCGTCGGATTTTCAAACGCTTCAAATACTGGTTCACTTGTTTTGTGGTTTAAATTTTTATTGGACATTTCTTCATTTACTTTAGATAATTGAGATGCTTGTAGTAAACGTCTGTTTGAAGCATTATTATGGGTGTAACTTCCTGTGTCGGCTAAAGGTTGCCTTAGTTTACCCTCTGTACTCAAATATCTGTAATAAAATTCAGTTTGAGTAAAAAATTGTAATAAATTGTATATTCTGAACAAATTTTATACCTTGGAGTTTCATGTTTTGCTATGCTTGGAGTAAAGTAAACAGAATTTTTCGGTGTTTGTACCATATCTTTGATTTTACCATTTTTACTTTGAAGTGGAGTCTGTTTAATGTTATTTTGAGACCAGTGACCCGAAACTGTAGCCGGTGTTAATCCAAGATTTCTCGATGTATCAGACAGTTTATTTTGTGGGGTTTGAACAATATTTCTACGAGAAAAGCATGGATCTGGACGTGAAGAATTGGATGGTGCATGCTTTATAGGAGTTTCTAATGTCATATGTTCAATAGAATTTGTTAATATACCATTCTCCAATGTTCTTAATTTGTTGGAAGAAATATTTTCATAATGAGTTTTATCTTCATTGACTGTTGTTTTCAAGTCCGTTGTTTCTACTTTCATATCTGTATTCTGTAAAATACAGTTTCCAGATTCTAATATATTCCCAAAATATTGGGAGGGAAAAACTATAGAATCAAGTTCATTACTATTTACCTTACAAGAGCTGTGTTTATCTATAAGTTGAACATCACTCTTACATGCTTGTTCTTTGCTTGATTGTTTTTTAATTTCTACATTAGGAACATGTTTACTTCTATGCTCATTGTGAGACATTCTTTCTTGAGCATAAGTATTTTCATAATTTGATTCTGTATGGCCTGGTTGCTCACAATTTATGTATTTCTCATGTCTTGTGTTATGTTCATTTTCCTGTAACTTTGAACACTTTTGTAACATATTAATTTCACATTTTTTATTGGTATCAATTTCTACATTGACAGATAATATCGGTCTATGACCATCCTGTTTCAAGTCTTTGTATTTATCATCATATGTATCTATGTTATCAAAATTATTATGTACAGAAACATGTACTTCAGCATTTATATTATTTGCATTACATTTAACTGCAGTTACAGGTGAAATTTTACAAGTACCTTGTAAATTATTATCATACTTTGTGCTGGGTACAGGTAATGAATTATTTAACTTATTTTCAAAGCTATCATCTCTAGGTAAAGGTTGAGGTTCATCAGAATCTGATTCAGTGTCAGTATCCTGTGCTTTGTCTTCACTATCATCATCATCACTTTCATAAAAATGTAATAACTCTTTCACGCGGATTGGTTGAAATTTTGGCCGTGAGTTTGTATGATTCTGAAAATCCATGGTACTCGGGACGATGCCCACACCTTTTGTCGTAATACTCTAAATTCTTCAAAATATAAACAATCCACGCTAATCTTTGAAACAATGTCAAATAAAATAGAAATCGTATCATGCACAATATTATATCACGGAAAAATATTAAACTTCCTTAAACAATAATCGGTGATCGCTTAACGATATGTCCTTTTATAAATATTATTAAAAACTCTCGAGAACCTGTTGGTCTTTGTTGATCCAGAAGCATTGTCATATATGTACTCTTTAAAATCACTTCAATTTTGAATGTGAAGAGACATCATTTAAATGCATTAACGCTGGCATATGTTTTCAGAATATCCAGAAATGCCGCTTGTTTCCTGTCACACGTTAATAGAAACACAAAGTTGACTTTTTGGGTTTCAGACTGTTTGGTTTGTATTGTACTGGTTTTCCGTTTACGTCATAAGATTTGAATTCTAAAGATGCACACCCATTGGTTCATTCTGACAGTGTTGCACAACATAGTTAAATTGATCTAGGGATATTTTTTGAAATTTATGTAGGATACACCAACAAAGATATCAATATTAATATCATTCGATTCAAACATTTTCATTTTCAAACATTTTATTATCAATAAAATTCTTCGTTCTATGAAAAATTTTTGTTCATAATTTGTTTAATATCAATAAAATAGTGTCTCCAACGTGACACTTTGTAACAGGGCTGTTGAACTGCTTCCCCTGAAAAGTGACACACACACACACTACTATGCAGCGAGGGGAAAGACCCTAGGTGGTTCACGAAGCTCCCAGTTCAAGACCCCTGATATAAACTTTATAGTTGTATATATGTTTTTCTTTATATATCGTTAGCATCATGTTCCTTTATTTGATGTATTCTAATTATTAATGATTATTACTACTTAAGAACGTTATAACTATTGATAAAATTAAATAAATTGAACAAATAATGATATCCTTTGTACTTTTGAAAATATTTTATCTATAAGCAATTTACTTAGGTACTATTTTATAAGAGAATTGTGCACGCAGATTTTATCTTTCGCTCGATTAAAAATAGAGAATTATTTTGGCCGTTGGTATGTCAAAATAACAGACAGAAATTAAGATGTAAACACAATATATTAACATTAGAGTAACACTTTGAAAAGATTATGCAGCATAATAAATGATTACAAATAGTTACAGTTTTTAACGCAAATTGAAACTTATTTATTGAACCAAACTTGCTTCAAAATTGTTCACACTTAACAGTCAAAACTTTGTTCTACAATAATTTAAAAATTAAAACGTTTAAAATATTTAGCATTTTCATTAAATCGTTTAATATCTTAATTTAAAGAGAAATAATACATGGGAATAATGTATACTATTGGAAATATTCAGTAAAAGAACACGAAATTGTATTTATCTAAAATTTTCTTGGAATTTAATAGATGATATAATGGGAAATATTGTCATTTTCTCCTATTAAAAACATCACTTTTAAATATTTAAAGTTTTAGTTTAAAGCTTAAATACAATTCTTAGAAAAGAAAGATAATAAGTTTAATGATACATAACTTATTTGATTTAATATAGACAACAATTTTGAACACTTATAATAATTGTAATACAAAAAAGATTGTATTAATGACTTCTATTTCTCTATATTAAAATATACACTGCCTATGTTAGATACATATCATGTTCAAAAATTGTTTGGAATTTCCATTCTGGTCGCTATACGTTGCACATAAGTCTTCCAAGAACTACGACAGAAAAGAAGATTATGTCGAATAGCGTGCAGTCTTCGCTTTTAAACTTAATCTGTATCTTTTTTATCTGAGCTTTATTAAGATAAACCATGTATAAATAAATTGTTTCTTCCGCACTTGAAGTCCGTATTACTCCATAGTTAAATTAAATTATATTTAACAAACTGTCGATTCATGTATCGTTCGCTCTGCTTCAGAAGTCAGAATCCGATGCTATCCGTCCCTCTGTTATTCACAATCTTATTTTCAACTGTGAACTTCCTTATGCATAAAAACTAATAGACAGCAATCTCGGAGATGCGAAACTCAACTAAACGGATATATTCTACTCACGATTCTCATCTGCTCCCTTATGTTCTAGTAATTAACCTAAGTATGCATTTTATCGTTTGCTTTAATGGACAAGACTTGATGTAACGATACACATATAATTTTCAACACGAAAGGAAAATTGTTACTAAGATTGAAATAAAGACGAGCACGGCGCTTAAAGAGCATTAAAAATTTGATATATCACCCTTTAATCTTTTCGGCATACTATAATACCGTGGAAAAACCCGAAAAGTATAGAGTGTTGCGCTTAATGTCGTAATCGATAGTTGAACGAAACGAATAGTTTTCCAGCGCCTTGCTAAGATGTATAAAGAGCGATATAAAAAATAATATTTTATTTAATCCTTAGGGACGAAATTAGGAATTGTATTATGATTAATGAAAAAAATGTTCTAGGCTATGTCGTAACACTCTTAACGTTTTCCATTATTGTAGTTAATAGACCGCAGCGGTGTTTTAAACGTTGATGCAGACTGTTGTTGAATCTGATACGCTAAAGGATGAATTTTAAAGCCATATAACCTATAAAAATATTAAATTTTCATTAAATGTTTACAAACACAAGTTATATTCAATGAAAATCAGACTTTTTAAAAGATAAAATAAAAATAATAAAAGCATATTTTGCTGTAAATACGTTCTGCAACTTACCTAGGTACAAATTGATTTGTTGTACGTTTTGGTCGATACTCTGGGTGAACCATAAAAAGCATGTGTGGAAATCCAGTTCCAAAATATGCTCCATCAGTATGATGATGCCGTGAACTTTTTGGTGTATAAACATCCATACATTTCGGACAATAACCTTTTACCATTGCTTCCCCAGGAACATCGCTCAGACCTATTGGCAACATGGTCTGAGATTCGCAATAGACACGCGGGCAATGACCAAAATCACCGGCCTGATATTTCTCTACCATCTGGGCGATGCCTCGATTGGTGAGAATATAACGGGCATGAATTAAACCATAAAGCAATTCTGCCGCCTGTTCGACCAGTTCATTTTGATTTGGTTCTTCAATTTCATCATCTAGATTACCAAAAAGAGATACTAAAATAATTTTGATATTTATACTGGCACTTACTATTAATTAATTACCCGGCTCGAGATCAAGTATCATGTCTAAGGCTTGTCTATAATGTGGTACTTGCTCATTTAATCCAGTTAAATTAAATTTATCTTGGATATAATCCTCATCAACCTGTAAAAATCTCGCATTATTTTCCGTAAATAACAATCGAAACAAATGAAAACTTACTATATTACCAATGCACTGTATTTTGGTAGAAATCAAACGCTTTTACAGAACTCTGTAATACGATTACGAAAATTGCTTCGTGAAATAAACAAGTACAAACATGTTTAACCTCGGTGGAATGGACGGGCTTCAAACGAGCAAAATGTACGAGGCGGATAAATACAAGATTTCGCGATGTGACGAGCTTCACTTACCTCGCAGAAAAACTCATTGCCCCGGAGGTTGCAGAACCATGAAATCCAGGATACCTCCTCAGAACTACTCATATTCCTGCGGATGAAGAAACAACGGTAGAAAAGTTCTTCTTTGTTGGATAGAACCGCCGCGTTAAAAGGGCGCAGGTCGCGCGTGTAAAATGCGTGATGATACGTGCGCGAAAAAAGTTCTCGAATATCTAGGTGGTATTATGCAGACGTATATACAACGTCGGCGCTCGGTGCACACGCCTGGCAATTGGTTAGAAAGGCGCCAACGAGAGAAGACTGCCACAGGGGGGGTACAGAGCGAGAGGATCGGCAAATGGAGTTTTCACTTTACTAGGCGAGATGCCCGACGACGTTACGGCCTGTTCTGCGAATTCACCTACCACGTTTTCGTGGTCATTGTTGCCTCGTCGATCGATTTTCAAGCACGATGTACAATCCGATACAGCCAGGAAGCACATTACTCGAGAAAAAGTCTCGCAGGACGAACGAAAACCCAAAAATAAACAGCCATTACGGCTTACCTTTTGGTGCTTTGATTAGCCACGCTTGCTCCTCCCAACGATATAGATAGCGCTGTCGTGCTTCACAGTGTTCGCCACCTTCAGGTTCTTTCCCGCATATGACTCGGATCACGATTTTATTTAACCTTTTCGATCGGAGAAAATCTCCTTTCCGTTACGATCGTTCAATTTCTATGTACACTGAATAACCGCCGATCCGGCTCAAATCTCTTACCTAGATCACTAAAGAATTTCCAGAAACGATCGTTATCCCTCACGTTGACCAATGAACAATCAATGCACTCTTGATACACACGCACGGTTTCTCGCTGAAGAATTATCTATATTTTATTATTGTTAGTTTCTGTTATTGATGACGTAGATGCTGCGTTAACGCGAGTCGACGTTTTATTTTTATTTTACCCTTGGACAGATGATTCAAATCCTCGACGATCGGACGAATTTTAAACGGATCCACATATTATTTATAGTCACGTGACTCCTGCTTCCTAGCAACTTCAAACAATGCGTAACTGATCAAATAATCTCGGAAATATCTCGGTTTTCAGACGTGTAATTGCACGTTTCACATCTGATCCGAAACCAGATATGATATTTAGTACGAATGTATTATGGAAACGTGTGTGCCTCTTTCCTTTGGATGAACTCTTGAATACATGGTATCGGGTTCCACCTGATCCTTAAAGCATTTACGCGGAACAATGTGAAGGAACGTGTGACGGTAATTTAATAAAATTAGAAGCACAGACACAAAATTAAACATGTGATTGTCGTACACTGCCAATGAACTCTTAATTATGTACAGTTTAGTCATTTCTGAATAAGTGGGTAAAGCTAGGTGAAGTGCAAAATGTAGAAAACAATTATACATTCATCTCTTATCAGTTTGAGTTATTGTCTTAAGCTTGGGTTTATGTTACCAAACATTAACATCGACTATGGTACGTATAAATTGAACTCATTATTCCTATAATTATTTCACTAACTCGAAACGGTATCTATTTTCAGATGCATATGTGGTTTTGGTTTGGAGACAATTTAGGTAGCTTTCTTCTACCAGGGTATAATGTTATTACAACTCCTGGTTTTGTTTGCACCTGTGTAGGCTTATCTGCACTTGCAATATTATACGAAGGTATGAAGATCTTACAGATCAAAATGCAACAAAATAACGTATCCTATATAAGGAAACAAAAGACTAATTCATCGGAGAATTCTTCGCTGTTATCAAAAATATCTTCAAGACCTATTGGAAAACAGTTCCCGTTACAATGGTATATAAATATCCTTCTTAGTCTTTAAATTTCAATGGGAAGGAACAGTTTTTATCATTATGTAATTGTATGTTATTTTATTTTCATAGCATGTGTTGGTCTATGTGGTGCCTTCAAGTTTTTTATTGGTCTATACATACATTTCTTGGCTACATTTTAATGTTGGCTATTATGTCTTATAACGTATATATTAATATTGCTATTATATTAGGAGGATGTCTTGGGTATTGGATATTTGGTCCTAAGCTTATAGAACTGAATCTAGAAAGATTTCAAAAGAGACAAAAGTTTTTAAACTGTGATGAAGAATGTGCAGGTAAGATTCAATTATCTTTCTATTAGAGTTCATAGGAATTTTATGGTATTCGTAATAATTTATAGATAACATAGTAAATCAAAGAATAGGATCAACAGTTTCTATTATCGCTGAGCAATTAGTGACTGAAGCTACTGTTGAAGTTCATGTACCAAGGGAAGTATAAGCCAAAACTACAGGATAAAATATTAATGCAATGAACAATGGTTTTTTATCTGTTATTATGTTGAATATTTTATTTTATGTAATCATGTTACATAGAGAGAAAAGATATTATTATACAAAACGTTATAAAAATACTGATAATAAAGTTATATAAAGATAAACCGTTACCCACATTCATAGGTCGAATAAACGTTTATAACATTTATTGGTGATTGATAGAAAATGATCATAAGCGTTTAATGTAGTAATCCACGTACCACATAGCCAACAGAAGTTAGCTTTGCAATACATACATGTCATTTTATTGCATCCATCTATCTTTTCAATCATAGTTTGACAATTTGGGCAAGGCTTAGCAGATACCTGTAAATAATATTTTTAATTTCATAAAATTTCTGCTGTTACAAACGTTAAAAAATGTAGTGTAAGTGATAGATATATCAGTAAAATAATACTTCTAAATATCTTTCTGTTAAGTATTTTTCTACAACTATTTGTATTTGTTTTCTGCCATACTTCTTTGCTAACAATTGCTTCTGATGTTTATTACTACTTTGATACTCTTCAATAAGATTTTCTATGTTGTTTGATATCATAATACATGGGGTAGCTCCATGATAGCCCTAATATAAAATAAATTCAAAATAATTTATTCTAATTTATCTACAAAACTGCATAATCATTTACCTTGTAACAGTAACTACAAAATGTATAATCGCATTTGTAACAAATAGTTAATTCTTCATCTGTATCTTTTATAAATGAAAATTCACACGATTTTCGTGGACATTGAACTAAATTTTTTATAGTTTTTAATGTTATATGTAATAATGTGTCTTCATATTTTGCAAATAAATTTGGACACAGACTTTTTATTTCATGAATTGCAATAGGAATATTGCAACTCAAAACAGGACATTCTATATCACATACATTGTTTTCTTTAATTTTTAAAGCAATGTATTCTTCTATACATTTACCACAATATATGTGATTACAGTTTTTAAGTTTTACACATTTTTCTCCAAGGAACATATCAAAACATATAATACATGTATAATAGCTTTGGCTAAACACATTTTCCTCTTGTTGTTCATCATAACTTATTAAAAATTGTAATGGCTCAAAAAATAATATATCGTATATGGCTCTTACGTCATGTTGATATGATAAATTTAAATTAAAATAGCTTGATATATTATAATATGCCATATATAGAAAAGAAATGTCTAATGTGTCTTTGATTTGAAGAAAGTAGAGAAGATCGTTTTTCAAAAATTCAAACCATAGAAACAATATTTCTTGTCCTCTATTATTTAACCATATCTCATCTAATTTCTGACAAATCATTGATATTTTCCAGGAAGAAAGCCATGATGTAGTAATATAATAATTTGGAGCACTCTTGGTAGGATAATCAATAGGAAGTTGAATGTGCATTCTAATGGGGGGTAAATATTTGATAAAATATTTACTGACTGAAGAATATTCATACGTATTCATATCGGACGTATTCAACGTCCGAAGTTCCAATAAACCATCTTTAACTATTGGAAACACATTATAGTAACATTGTGTAAATTCGTTGGTATAAGAAAATTCTTTGGAACTGTAGATGTGTGAAAGTGCTAATATTTCATCCTTTTGTCGTTCACCGTCTATTTCTTCTTGTTTAGATTTCATGTTGACAATGTCTTTTCCAACATTCGATCACTTTATTCATAGGGAATCTCCTAACTAGTGACGCTTAGAAAAAAGCGAAACAATCTTTCTTTTTCTATTGTCTTAGTCTTTCCCCTACCTGACCACGCTACCGTGAATAGTATATAATGGCGCGATATTATAAAATAATGTCATTTGTCCGTAAAATGTTTACCATTCGTAATTAACAAAAAAGTAAATTAGTAATTCGATTTATCTTTATTAAACGTTTAAATTGATTACAGATAATTTCCTTAAAAATCATTTATTTCTACGTT